GAGCGACGCGTACAAGCGAGCGACGCGCCCCACCAACTTTGCCTGCCTTCTTGAGCGTATAACTCAACCACGATATATAGTTATATATAGATATTTATATAGCAGATTAAGAAGTATCTATAGAGTCCTTTTTGCACGTACGTGAGTTGTGGCCAGTCTCTCTGCACCTCGTGCAGCGCGCCAGAGCCTGGCGGCTGAGGCCTGATTGCTCTCCTCCGTGACGCTCTTCACGCGCAATCTGCTGATCAGCCTCACGTTGAGCAAGTATGTCCTCTCCAGCTCCCTTTGTTAAGACTCCACACTTCTAGAGTTGCTTTTTCTTGCGTTTTTTTCGCTCTAACGCTGCCTCATTGGCACTCTCTAGGCTGGCTATCTGTTCGCGCATAAGCTCAGCAGAGAGCATCATCACCTCAGCTCCTTTCTTAAGCTGATCAATCGCTTCAATAATTGAGGCAGGTGAGGAGCTCCTGTGCTTTCTTACGCGCTCACGGATTAACGTTGATTGAGCCTCAAGCTCACGTACGTTGGTTGGCGTACGAGCCTCCTAGAGAGCCTCTGGCAGAGCAGCTAGAGGAGGCGTGCGCAGCTTCACGTCTAGCTTTGACAAACAACGTCAGGATGGAGAGGGACAAGGCCTGCGCCTTGGAAGGCTGAGCAGATATTGGCTGTTGTAAACGCGCGATCAAAGGCTGCCTTGAACACTAGCAGAAATTCAAGCTTGGTAATGTGGTTGATGTGGTGGCAGATCAGAGCCTCAATCTCACAGCTGTACGCGCGCTTCAACAGCAAGAAGCAGCCAACGTCAAGTGGCTGCAGCAGGTAAGATGAGTGAGGTGGCATGCAGAGCGTGTAGATATTGTTCTCCTTGCAGAGCTCTTCAAATTCAAGAGAGTGGTGGCTCTTGTGGCCATTAAGGATAAGCAGGCAACGTGCACCTACGCAACAAGTCTTAGTGTAGGCGTGAAAGTGCTTTAGCTACTTAACTCTAAGCTTATTATTCGTCTAGCCATTGTTGCTGACTGCAATTACCCAGTTGTGTGGGATCTCTGCCTGCTTGTACCAGGCAGATAGGTGATATTGGCCAGCAAAGATAAGGAAGGGTGGGATTATCCAGCCAGCAGCGTTGATCGCAGCGATAGCTGTTACCCACTCGCGATTACCAGGCTGAACAGCCTTTGGCCGGCCTCTCCTCTCTGATCTAGTCACAACAAGCTAAGTTGTAATCTTGCCTATTATAAAGCCAGCCTTATCAAAGTTATAGACGTCCTTATTACAGATGCTGTACTTAGCCTTCGTCTGCTCTACAAGCCTGAACTAGTCTTAGATAAGAACAGGGTCCTCGCATAGAGCTCTCTGCCTGTCGTACGCTCTGTTGAAACGCGTTGTGAGAGAGTCTGTACGCTTGACAAAGTTGCGTGGCCAGTGGACGCCGACGTGACCTGCGCTGCGCGCAGCTAGCAGCTTATCAGCCATATCACGTACAGCTGCGTACGTAGGCGCAAATCCACGTTGATCTAGATCCAGTATATAGCTTGTGATCACCTCCTCCTCACGCTGGGTAAGCTTCTTTGAGTTAGGCTGGCAATCGCGTCGTGAGGGCCTGCCAGCGCGTTGGTGGCGGAGCGTTGCTTCAGGAACGTTGTAGATTGTGGCAGCAGGACGATTGCCCTGGATCTGTTTAGTGTTGATAGATGAGATAGCAAGCTAAATATCTGCTTCATTTAAAGGCAATTGAGTAACGTTGCGTGGAGCCATTATACGTTGAGATGGAAGAGGCAGGCAAAGTTGGTGGGGCGCGTCGCTCGCTTGTACGCGTCGCTCGCTTGTAAAGTACGTTAATGTAACAACGCAGGCAAGAACATCGGGAAAAGTTTTTCGAAATCTGGCCCAGACTGGCCGTTGCTGACAGTTGTGGCATGGTCGTGCAATGGCTGTTCAACGGCCCCAACAGCCCCAATTTGCGCCCAACAGCCCTAATTTCGCGCCAACATTGCTAACAGCTAAAACGCTGAGTGCCTATATTCAATAACGTACCTCACGGGCGAGTGGCCGGCCCGGGCGAGTGACCGGATTTTGCCAAGACCACACCAAACTTCAACTTGTCTTGCATATTACAGCAAGTTACTGCAAGTTACTGTAACTTACAGTATACAGCACTAATCTACAGTATCTTGCGCATCTTTTATGCACGTTCGCGCGTTGTGCCCTGCCTTACTACACCTGCTACAGCGTTGTAAAGACTAAGTGCCTAGTTTAACGCGCCTCTTCTTGCTTGCCTTCTTCCTATTATTATGGGCTTTAAACTCCTTTAGGGTAGTTAAGCGCACTCCTTCACTAACAGTAAGAGTCCCCTCCCTCTAGATCTGCTTCCTCTTGTGTGATTTACGGCGTGTGGCGGCCTCATTAGCAGCTTGAAGCTCTGCGACCTAGTTGCGCACTAAAACTAGTAAATGCGCTATTATCTCTGCGCCCTTAGTGAGCTGATTAAGAGCATTAACTATTAAAGTTAGAGAGCTATTACTATGTTGTTAAATCCTCTCTTTAATAAGCTTTAATTACAACCTAAATTCTAGGGTGTTCTGTAGGGTTTAAGAGTGCCACATACTCTTATCTATAGTAGGTAGTAGTAGAGTACACAGGCGCACTTTAAGCTTTAATATTACAGCCTCTAGATTAAAGGGGACTAAGCTAGCACCTCTAAATCCTCCCTAGATATTGCTCCTAGTAATAGAGGCATTAAAAGCTCCTTTAAAGCATAGTAAAAACTTAAGTTTTGTGATGCGAGTTGTAACGGTCTAGACTCTAAAGCTAAAGAAGAGCTAGAGCTAGCCGGTTACATTAGCTTAGCCGGCTTGGCTAAAGCTGGATATATATTATCTACGCAGTTAACTAGACGTCTAGTTAACTTGTGCATGCTTTTTAGCAAAAGTAGTTAGGAAGTAGATATCCTTTATTGGCCTTTGGCCAGACTACTACACGAGTAATCTTGTTGCGCATTAGTAGCTTAGCTTAGCAACTATAGGCCTTCTTTATTAGGGCAAAATAACCTACGTCAAGCGGCTGCAACAGGTGCGATAAGCGTGGAGGCATACACAAGGTAATAATCTTGTGTTCTTTACAGTACTAGTAGAACTTAACTAAATTGTGGCTCTTATAGCTATCTAGAATAAGCAGCTAATAGCTGCCAATAGTGTGCTCCTTTGTGTGCTTATTAAAGTGCTTTAGCCACTTAATACTAAGCTTGTTATTAGTCTAGCTGTTCTTAGAGACAGTGATAACCTAGTTATAAGGTAAAGACAGCTCCTTATACTAGGCAGAGAGGTAGTGCTTGCCTTAGAAGATAACAAAGGGTAGGATACTCTATCCTAACACGTTAATACCCTAGATAATGCTAGTCTACTCTTAGTCACCCTGCTATACTGTCTTTAGTCTTCTACAACGCTCTAAGCCTGTAATAACAGCTCCTGTTAATATAATACCTATTATAAACCTAGACATGTTAAAATTATAGGTGTCTTTATCTAGGATACTATACTTAGCTTTAGTATTCTCCACTAGGTGGAACTAGCCCTAGATTACCTTAGGATCCTCGCAAAGGGCTCTCTTGTAGTTGTACTTTCAATTAAACTTAACTATAAGCTCTGGGCGACGCTTAACGAACGTGCTAGCCCAGTTCTTGCTAACAGGAGGCTGGTGGCGCTCAGTAAGTAGAGAGTTAGCTATATCCTCTACATTAGTAAGCTGGGGTGGGTATCCTTGCTCGTCCAGCTTCAGAACATGCTGCACAATCACCTCCTCTTTAGTGCTTGTTAGCTTTATTAAGTTGACCTTACAATCGCGTCTTAAGAGCGTTCTAGCACGTTGTTATCTTAGCGTTCTTTCTAACACCTTATAGATTATTGCAGCATGTGGAATAGTAAGAGTCGCGTCTTGTTTAAGAGCCTAGATTGCAAGCTGTATATCTAGTTCCTTTAAGACGCTTTAAGCCTTTTTGTGTTAAGACATCGTGGGTTGTATGAAGTTTGGTGTGGTCTTGGCAAAATCCGGACACTCGCCCGGGCCGGCCACTCGCCCGTGAGGTACGTTAAACTTAAAATAACGTTGCAACATTGTTGCATAGCTACCCTTAGTTCTACTAACGTAGATTATCACCGAGCCGGCCATATCACCGAACCGGCCACTTTCTCTTAGCACGACCACCTTTTACCCCAACATAACATGCCTTAATAACAACAACTTCAGAATACTACTAGAGAAGGCAGAGTTATCCTTGCTATCTAGGCCTTCTACGCTGGCCAATTTCGCAGTATCTGCAGCGCTGCTAGAGCGTTGAATGTACCTTATTAGTGGGTCTCTAATTGCCTTCGCAATATCACGTTTTAACTAGACGTACACGCTAATTGCTAGAAACTTACTATACTAGAGGAGCAGACAATTATCTAGTATATACTTAACCTTAATTTGCGAGGATTTGCGCCCCAGCTATGTAAGGTGGCAGATATAGCTAATAAGATACTTAGTGTGCGTGGTGAAGAGCCTGTTAGCAAACTATGGGCTAGCAGGCTTGTGACGCGTTCAGACGAGCTCAAAATGGCCTTTAATCAAGCCAATGATAGACAGAGGATACTACAGGAAGATCCTGAGATAATTAGCGCGTGGTTTAAGCTAGTAGAGGATACTTAAGTCAAGTATAGTGTTTGCAACAATGATGTGCACAACTTTAATAAAACTAGGTTCTAGATAGGCGTTGCTTCGTCTTTAAAGGTTGTAACAGGCTTAGAGAGACGTGCTCGGCCAGAGCTTGTTCAGCCAGGTGATCGCGAGTGGGTTACCGTTATCCAGAGCATCTGCGCTGCTGGGTATGCAACCCTGCCTTTCATCATCTACAAAGGACGCGTCCACATCTCTGCCTAGTATGAGGAGACAGATATACCCTATAATTAGAAGCTCTCAGTCTCTAAGAACAGTTAGATAAACAACACGCTTAGCCTTAAGTAGTTAAAGCACTTTAACACGCATACAAAGACGCGTTAGGTAGGAGTGTACAGGCTGCTTATCTTGGATAGCTATAAGAGCTATCTTAACTAGGAGTTTAAGGACTATTGCCTAGAGAACTAAATCCTTACTCTCTGCATGCTACCTTACTTATCACACATCCTCTAGCCACTTAACGTGGTCTGTTTCTTACTATTAAAGCGTAAGTACTCCTAACACGTTTAAGACTTAGCACGCTAACATGTCTTCTACATTAACAAGGAAGGCTTCCTACTAGCCTTTAGGGACGCGTTCCTTAATATATTTACAAAGGTTAACTGCTAAAAGGCCTTTAAGGTATTAGGGCTTGTTCCTACTAACGCGCAGGTGGTGTTAGATCGCCTTGAAGTGCAGCTGCATACCCTACTAGCAGTACCTCTACCTAAAACGCCATAGCAATCTAAGACACTAAGCAATACACACAAGTTTAGGTCTTAATCTAAGCTTATAAGCAACTCCTTCTAACAATTGCTAAGTGCAGCGCAAGAGGGGTTCTTAAAGCTTGTAAAAGGGGCTGAAGAGATGCTGCACAAAAACGTCCTTATTAAGGCCCGCGTGCGAGAGCTTGAAGAGCAATTAGCAGTAATAACTAAGAGAAAATCGCGTAAGAGAAAGCAGATTCAGCATGGTGGCACACTTAAGTATGGCCCAGCAGCATCGCGGGTAGCTGCTGAGGCGTGTGTAGCAGCTCAGCCATCTAAGAAGACTTAGGGTGGAGGTAGTCAACTAGGAGCTCAGTTAACTGTTCGGCGCTGTGGGAACTGCAGCAAAACTGGACACAACGCACGAACGTGCTAGGAGGGTGCAGAAATATCTTCTAAATCTAATGTAAGCACGCAGTATACTAGGTCACTGTTTAATAGCAAGTAGTTGTAGTTGCAGTAACTTGTGTTAGTCGTGCCAAGAGAAAATGGCCGGTTCGGTGATATGGCTGGCTTGGTGATAATCTACGTTAGCACTAAGTTAGTATTAAATATTTAAAAATTGCGAAATTTCATGTATAGATAGAGCGAAATTGTAGCTTTAAAATAAGCGAAAATTTATTATTGTAGGCCTACTATAACACAAGTTATAGAGCGTTGAAGGTTTGTTTGTTAAAGGTTTGTGTTTTGAAGTTGCAACAGCACACCATGGCAGCTGCAGCTGCGCCAGCACACAATATATCAGCTGCAGCTGCAACAGCACACGACGTAGCAGCTGCAACAGCACATAACAAAGCACCTGCTAACAAGCACACATTGCAGAACAGGTAGGCCTAGGCGTAGAATTCTTGGTTTACCTACTATTCTTTAATAATATTCTTGTATTTTCTAATATTTAGGCTGCTAGAGCCCTAGCAAAGAATCTTAACTTAGTATCTTAGCAAGGAATATTAAGCTTAAAACCTTCTACACTTAATAACTATTCTATTAATAGGCCTATAATATTATTTAATAGCTTATTTTAATATCCTAGTGGTATCGGGTCACTGTTCGTAGAGCGTTGTTACAGCTGAAGGGGGTGAACCATCTCAATAATGCTGTGGACGGTGCAACCAGACAGGACATAACGCGCGAACGTGCAAGAATGAGGTAGAAGAGGTATCTGAGTAATATTACAGCTTGTTTTGCCTTATGCAGCGCCAATTTGTGGTGTTTTGGGCCATAATAGGGGGGAGTTTGGTGGGGGCTTGGCAAAAGTGATCAGCTCGCCCGTTGATCAGCTCGCCCGTGGGGTACGTTAGTACTTTACGCATCTTTCTTATATATTATTTTATTATGCCCTGTCTTACTATATATACTACAGCGCCTTAAAGACTAAGTGCTCCTATTAACACGTAACCTCTTCTTTACCTTCTTCCTATTACTATAGGCCTTAAATTCCTTTAGAGTAGTTAGCTACACTCCCTTAGCAAAGGTTAGAGTCCGTTTTTACTATACTTGCTTCCTTTTGTGTAATTTACAACATGTAGCAGCCTTGTTAGCTGCCTATAGGTTAGCAACCTAGTTGCGCACTAAAACTGTAACGGTCTAGACTCTAAAGCTAAAGAAGAGCTAGAGCTAGCTGGTTACATTAGCTTAGCCGGCTTGGCTTAAGCTGGATATATATTATCTACGCAGTTAACTAGGCGTCTAGTTAACTTGTGCATGCTTTTTAGCAAAAGTTGTTAGGAAGTAGATATCCTTTATTGGCCTTTGGCCAGACTACTACAAAAACTAGTAAATATACTATTAGCTCTGCGCCTTTAGTAAGCTAATTAAGAGAGTTAACTATAGAGATTAGCAAGCTATTAGTGTGTCTCTAAATCCTCTCTTAAATTAGCTTTAATTAAGACCTAAATTCTGGGGTGTTGCTTAGTGTTTTAGACTCCTACTTACTGTTGTCTATAGTAGGTGGCGTTAGTGTGCATAGCTGTACTTTAAGCTTTAATATTACAGCTTCTAGGTTAAATAGGACTAGGCTAGCACTAGGCTGGCGGAATGGGTATACTCCAACGTCCTTCGTGGGTACCCCCCAAAACTTTGTCAATAATACATGGATTCTAGC